AAACTAAAAATCTAGTAATCAAAAAAAGTGATAAGGGTGGCAATGTGGTCCTCTTAACTCTTAACTGAAGAGCTATACGAAAAAGAAGTCCGAAGACCGCTCGCAGACAGCTCTACATATACTAGACTTGGTTACAATCCTTTTCCAGGATTGGTGGCCCTACTGAATGAGAACCTGTCTTTCGCATGTGAGGCTAGTCTGAGTATCTAAGCTTGGGGGAGTTTAATACCCCCATGTTTTACATCATTCCAAAAAGATACACAAAAATGTCACAAACCCCCCGGGTCGACCCATTGTCTCAGCTATTAAGGGCCCATTGGAAAAAATTGGCAAATACATTGACTATCTGATCAAAGATATGGTAGTTAGGCTGCCCAAGTAAGTGAAAGACACCAAGGATGTTCTGGATAAAAGTGAGATCAGTGTTGTTGAAGGGGCACTACTTGTGGGAGTTGACGTGGAGTCCTATATACAGCTATACCCCATGAATGGGGGGTGGCGGTGGTGTCCCACTATTTAGATGCAAACTTTCCAACTATGGGGGCCCAAAATTAATTTATCATCAAATTACTGGAGTTGGCGCTGCAGAATCATTTTTTTCAATTCTGTGGTGTGAACTACCAGCAGATTACAGCCATGTCTATGGGGGCCCCTTCGGGCCTCAGTCTATGCCTGCCTCTATCTGGGATGGTGGGAAGAGGATGCAGTATATAACTCACCAATGTACCTCGGTCATGTGCGTCTGTGGCTGAGGTACATTGATGATGTCTTGATGTTGTGGAATTGCTCTATTGGTGAGCTGGAGAGGTTTATGGTGGAACTCGGGAATAACTCCAGCAACATAAAACTAACCTTTACAGTGGACATTGGGGAGGTATCATTTCTAGATCTCTCCATTTGGATTGAAAATGATAAACTCAAGACAAAAACCTTTAGGAAACAGACGGCAGCGAATACACTCCTTCACGCTACCAGTCACCACCCTAGTTCCCTTGTTAGAGGTATACTCGTTAGAGCAGTTTCTTTGGATTCTCATAAACTGTCCGAGGATGAGGACTATAAGAGTGAAAAGGGTGACCTCTATAGTAGATTTAAAGAGAAGAGATATTCACACCGCACGCTTAAAGAGGCCAAGAAAAGAGCAGCTAGTAAGTGGCGACATGACCTCATTAGACCTAGGGAGGTGGTAAAAGAGAAAGATATATCTAATGATAGCCCAGTGAGAATTATTACCCAATTTGGGACCCAGGGGAATGAGGTGCATGAGATTTTTAAACGACATTGACACGCTCACATGAATTAGAAGCAACTGTAGGCCCAAGACCCTTCATGGTAGCGAAGAGAGCGAAAAACCTAAATGACATGCTTGTACAGTCTGAGTTCATTACCACTTGCCTACTGGGCACTTATACCCCCCTCCTGTGACAGTGTAAGGAAAGTGCAGCCGACAACCAGCACCTGCATTTACCCGGTGATTTGCTGGGTCATTGGACACAGCTGATCACGTGGTAAAAGGCCGCTGTGATTGGCCTTTTACCACATCACACGATCAGCTGTGTCCGTAGGACACAGAGACCATGAAGATCAACGGATGTGCGCCGCTGGGGGCGCACGGGAGGGTGCATTCTGGGAGGACGTCATATGACACCCTCCCATAACTGGACAACCGCACTGTAGCCATCATTCAGCTATAGCTCGGTTGTCCAGTGGTTAAAACAACAGGAATAAACTGGTTGACAGACCTTCCAGAGATGAAAGGAATGCTTCCCTGTGGGCATTGTAATATATGTAAATTGTTGAAAGAACGAAGGTGTTCACCGACTCTGAAGGGAAGAAAAGTTACCAAATTAGACAATTCATTAACTGTGCTACAAGAGTACTCTATATCATAGAATTTCCGTGTAAGAAATATTACATGGTCAAAACTAAACGTCAACTTCGCATCAGGGTAGGTGAACACCTTAAAAGTATAAGGCTGAATGAGAATACACCGATAGCCTAACATTACACCGAATTTCATGGTGCTCAAACAACTGGATTGAAGGTCAAAGGCTTTTATGCCCTTAAGTCATCACACAGACAAGGTGACTTCAACACAGTGCTACTGAGAAAAGAAAAAAAGCTGGATTTCTAAGCTAGGAACCATGACACCAAAAGGACTCAATAATGAAAGGAGTCTAAAAGTGTTTCTTGAACCATAAATATATGTGGACCTTCATATCCGCCTCCCATTAGTTAATTTATCTTTGATCCCCCTTCTTTCCCCTAATGGGGTGGATGCAGATATGTCTCTATCTGTGGATATTCATTTGATGTATAATTTGACTATTGCCTAGTCCAGCTTTGAAGTATATTGTGATGTCTAGATGGTGAGCTTAGGTTAACCCATGTACAATACTATTATAAATGAAATGTTATTCATCTAGAACGACCAATATCTCTTATACCCTTTCCTTTATATCTAACAATACTATCTGTATCTTTTAAATGATTGCTGTCACTTTACGTAATGGACATCCCCCAGCCATCATCATTGGTTGAAAGGGTTGATAGCACCTTTAAGAGGCCAGTGGTGTGAATGTCCTGACGAAGCTCACGGTCACGCAGGCGAAACACGATGACGTAGACAGCATCAACAAGCCATGGGCCAGCCCCCACTGGCGGCGCAGGCACCAGCTACCTAGAAACTTAATAGCGGACTTTCTCGCTTGCCTAATAACACGTGGATCCTGAAATAGATCGCCACACGCAAAGCCTGCCACCACCCAGTGGAGGACTGGATATCAGAGGGCACAGCATTAAAAGCCTGCCTTCATGAAGCTACATCATACCATGTGGCAGACTGGACACCAGTGAGCACAACCCGTCATTAGCACCAACCAATACACGGGAGTGGTGAGAGTCCTCAGGCATATTACATGTGACTGCTTATCAATACATATGCCACCTTTTCAATCTGATTAGAGGACACATTGACTGTGGCTTCACCACTGTGCTATCGGCATGCTTTTCTTATATTCTGTATCCAATTTATGAGCTAAGCTCCCTGTGCTGATTGGGTCTGTCCACAATACGGGATATATTCCCTATACTTATTATAAGGGCTTGGGCTGTACATGGACTGAATTAAGTGACAGATTCACCTTTTGGTTGGCCTCTTGATTACCAAGTCACACTACCAGTTTGCTCAGCCTGCCCAGTTCATCTAGTTTCTCACTGTGGACTAACCCTATTCCACACAAGTTGGGGTACCTACTGTTATATTATGCTCCGCAGCACATGCAACTCATGCTGTACATGATAGCGGAGCGCCTCAGGATATATACCCATACAGGGATCTTGGTGTATTTGTTTCATGGTTTATTGGTGACCCATTGGGATCTGGCCATCATGCTCTGGAGGGGGCTAGTTCTATCACTCATTGAGTGGTAGCGGACAGTTTGATATGATCAGTCAGCTACGTGACAAATTGTCTACCTAGACTGCCTGTTCCTTAGACTGATGGCCTGTTGGGCTACACATACTCTCAGACCCAGTGTATGTATGGCAGCACGTTTGAGTGGGTGTGCGGAGCACAGGCTTGTTTTTTTTAAGGTGATAGCGTTATTTGCCTTATTTTAATGGTGATTGGAGGATTGCTGGTAATTTGACCAATTTTATAAAACTTTTATCTCAATAAAGCTGTATGGTTTGGTTACAATGCGGTTGGTCCTCCTTTAAAGCCTCTGTAAGGGTGGCCCCTTTGGCCCCCATATGCTTTTTTCTATATAGGACTATGGCTTTGGAGTACCCCACTGTAAAATACACGGTGAGTCGGTCACCCATGACAAGTAACCGTGGGTTGAGATCTCCCCTAAGGGGGCTATATACCCTTATATAATACACATATTATCTTTGTTACATTCTTAACAGCTGTGATTACCATCGTGCGCTGTGATTGGCCCATAGTTATCACATTGTACAGGTTGTTGTGATTGGCCCAGGTAGCAAGTGATAGCTGTGGGCCAATCACAGAATCACTATAAGAAATCACAGTTATGAATTAAATTTATTCATAATATCTTTGTTGACAATGTAATCACATGATCCTCCGGGCCAACCGCAAACCAGTACCCGACAGGTAAATTGCTTAACCTGCTGGTGCATGTACTGTTGGCAGTCTGAAAATGGTTAAAGGAGAACAATTGGATTTAAATTTATACAACAGAAACAAAATAGCAGTAAACGATCTATCCCTACCCTTATTCACAGCAGCATAATGGAAAAGAAAAAGGGTTCTCTTTAAACCTTTAAATTAATCTGACATGAACACAAGGGCTGCCATTGTGGACCTTCTTCTGAAAATGCACACCTGCTAATTTGAATACTTTTAAGTCACTGACCTAAATCAAGCATGCATTAGGGGAAAACCAGAGGTCAATTTCTACATACTTATTCCAGGTGAAAGACTCAAAGAACTGAAGCAAGAAGGTCCACATGACATGCCAAGTATCTACTAATTTCAAAGAGAGCTCAGCAACAGCAGCCTTCAGATTTGTATCAGGACAGCTTTACAAGCTGTTCGAAAGTCATGGCGCCGCCTCTAACATCAGCCGATCTGGCGTAAAACTTTCTCCTGCCCCTTTTTAGCGATCTTAACTGTGCAGCCCTGCCCCAGGCTACAGTTTTTTTCCCTCCAGAAATTGTCCTTTCAAATTTCTCTTCATTCTCCGCATGCGTGACTTGGCCGATTCATTGCAATAGAGAAAGCAATACTCTACACAAGACTGCTGAAGGCTGCCATAAGTTTCAAATAGGAATGAATGGGGTTGCTTCAGGCATATACAGAATAAGGACAACCTGGCTAACTGAGGACCACAGAACAAAGTTTGCTGGAACAGGCTAGGTGGGTTGAACAAAGGGTTGGGGCCATGCTTTAAAGGAAAGCATGTATGGTGTAAATGTCCTTTAAATATGCATTAATATAAATTTAAATAAAAAGAAACAAAGCTTGGTATTACCTTTGTGCTCACCTTTGTCGGTAACGTTCTTGCCCTTCTTACCGCCACTCTTGTGGGTCACTTCTGGTATCTCCACCTTCTCAAAGTTGACAGCTTCCTTCTTTTCCAGAGGTGGCTCAGAGTTGTCCATCAGGGGGATATACACAGTGGGCTTAATAAGCGGCTCATTCACCAGTGCTGAAAGTGAAGACAGAATTGTAATTTTGAAAAACTCAATATGATTTTCATACTTTACAACTAATAATTACAAGACAATATAATTGGATACCTTATTTTTGCCAGAGACAGCAGAGTACTGCCAGATCTGAGAGCCAATGTAGAGTTAACTTAGCACTACTTGTTCTTTTATTACGGGGTGGTTTTAATCCAGGAAATATGATTAGGAGCCAGCCCGGTCATAAAGGAAGATCCTACTTTTTGATGGTGCCATCTGCTATTATTGCAGAAGCCTATGAAAATTGTTGATTGGACAAGGAATTCTCAAGGCTCAGGATGAAACCTAAGTGAGAGGTGTCAATGTAGGGGTTTCAGAAAAGTGCCTGGTTTCTCATTCTCGGTGTGAAGATGGAAGCCTGGGGGAGCCGCGAGAGCACTCCACTGGAGGGCTATGTTTCAAATTAAGTCCTTCATAATGTGCTAGTATGCAAAGCACACTAGCAAATTATGCCTTTACCATTCAGGGGTTGTTTTTCTTTGTTTCTTTTTTTTTATTTGATGCGGTTTACTACCGCTGTAATCCCCTGAATACCAGACATTTATAAACCCATACTTGGCCAACAAGGGGTTAACAAAGCTCTCTGTTATAAACCTACTATTTTATAAAGGAACATGAAGGTTTAACAACAAATCAGTGCCTTCAAATAAAAAAAAATGACTAGACAAACTGCACAGAAACTTCCCTAATATATGTCTGCATTATAAATGCACAGACCCGTAAGATGCTGGTTTATATCCAATTCCACTCCAACACTACTTACGGTTCTCGGTTTTCGGTTTCTTTTTCGGAGCCGACTTCTTTCCTGACCCAGATTCCTGTGGCTTCACCTCTGCCAGCGGAATGACCGCTGCCTGCTTCTTGGACGGCACCACCTGTTCATTTTTTGGTTCTGGGCTAATCGGGGTGTCATCTAATCAAAACAAAAAAACACATGTTAAGCCTGAAAGTCTGGGAAGTGTCAGCAGTTTTTTGCATTCAGAAAAATACCAAAATGACTACAGACTATTCTTAAACCAGCAAAATGAAATGATTCCGCAATGTCCGCATGACTTCCTGCAGCTATCATTTTTCAGAGGGGCACAAGTTAAAATCTGTATATATTTTTTTTTTTTACTAGAAATTACTGTAACTCCCAAAAATTATTTTCTGAAAGCAGAGACCCAGAGATTAAAAGGGCGGTAGCTGCAATTTATGTTGCAAGACATTTGTCCAGCTTTCTATCAAACACATATTTTCTGGGGAAAAAAATACACCAACATGAATTTTAGTACAAACAAAATAAAATGATACTGAATTTTTTTGTAAAATATAAAAGACTGAGATACATCGAGTAAATAGATACTAAAATTGTGCACACTGAAACATTTTAAAAAGCCTTTGCAGATCGTCAGTTTAGAGAGAACAAACTAAGGTGTCCTTTTATGACACAGAGAATAGCTGCGATTCAACAGATCTCAGCTATTCTCTGGTCATTCACAGTTTATGACACTCAGGAGATCATGTCAGCCCTTCTCTGGAAATCTGTGTTCTCCCTCCAGATTCTCCAGCCCAGAGCTGCAGAATCAGAGGGACCGAAAACTAAGCAGAGATAACTTACCTCTGCTTAGTAAACTGATCTTTTACTGTAATCTCACGAGATTATAGTAAAATGAGCCGTTTTTCAGAGTGTGTAGACCGTTCTCCAGCGTTTGGAGACCGTTCTTCCTTCGTTCGGAGAACTGCTTCATAAACTGCATTCACAGGAGAACTGTGTTCTCCGAGAATGCCGGAGAACTGAGCAGCGATCTATTACCGCTGGTTCATAAACGGACACCTAAGGCCCTAGAACCCTTGATTTCCTTACATAAAGTCCTCGCCCTATGCTGCGTTTGATGTGAGGTGCTTATGAGGGTGATGAAGGAACTGAAACAGGAACTGCACTGCATCTGAGCACAAACCAAAAATGCACTTTAATTCATTAATATTCAAAGCAAACGCCCCCAGCCATCCATATCTCAATGCTTAATTTAGCTGAGAAATCCTTTGGAAAAAAACACAACCTGGCATTTCCGGCAGTGCCCATCTTAAATAAGGGCAGATGATTAGTGTAACATTTACTTCCTGGAATCCACCTGCCCTTAACTCAGGCATTGGCTGAGCTGAGAACCCTCTCTATCTGAAGACTGCTGGGATTTATGACACTTGCCTAGGCATGGGAACCAGGAAGTAACTGAAAATAAAATGTAAAATAAAAGTCTCAGCAAAGAAAACAGGATATACTTTCCTATCCATTTACTGTTAGTAGCATAAGGATTAAAAATAGCCCATGTTGATTGAGAAAGTGAAGTTCCACTTTAATTTAATTTATTTTTTTTAAATATTTACATTGTATAGTTTGTTTTTTTAAAATATAGAACTTAATTGCTGGAGGAGGGCTAGGGGGAAAACAACTCCACTACATGATAGCATGGACAGGTGCCATTGGGGGTTTTATTAGACCCCCAATGTCTCACCTGCCCTTTAATGTAGCCATTTAAGCAAAGACCATGTTTAAATAGCTGCCTCCTCAGCTGCACTAGCGGAGGAATGACAGCGGTGACCCCAGAATGTAATACACATTGCATTCGGGGTCAATAATCGCAGGAGGGATTGGAGGATGACGTTCCTCAAGTTCCTCCTGCACACTGGACAAGCGGTTTCCCATGGTCCTGGGCTCCCCGGAGGAACATGAGGGCCCTAAGACAGGGATCAGGTAGCCTGGATTACTTTTATCAGACTCTTCACTGTTAGGTGGTTAATGATAAAGATCTATTCAAGCTATATAAATCAGTAAATACAGAATTTGGGATATATAGATATTTTCTGATCTTTACCATACTTTCAGACTTCAGGGTATGTAGAAGCAAGCGACCGCACTGGGTCAATCAAACCTATAAAATAGTTGAGTCCATAATCTTGTGTGTAGTGGGTGCACTGAAATGAAAATTCTGGTGCCGAAATCGATATAGAAAATTCCGAATGCATGTGGCCGAAAACCAAACTGAAAAGTCTGCGTATGTGGGGGTGGGGAGGCTTCAATTTGTTTTTGTATTTTTTTCAACTTTCATGTATATTTTTATATTTTATTTTTTTTAACTTATGATTTTATTGCTATCACATAGGGGACCAATAGTCCCCTAAGTGATTGCATATGAGTGACAGGTCCTCTTTGAAGAGGGGAGCAGGTGGGGGGCAGTGTGTGCAAGAAGGGGGCAGGAGAGGAGCACAGTGTATACAGAGAGGCTCCCTCACTGGCTGTCACTATATGTCAGTACCGGTTTATAAATGCAATTGTCGGGTTTTTATTTTCTTCACTATAGTTCATAGAATTAGCTGTCACTTTCCCTAGAGCTAAAGGAAGCTTTGTTTCTTTTAGCTGTGGGGAAGTGACAGCTAATTCTGTGAGCTACAGTGAAGGAAAAAAAAAAAAAAAAAAAAGCCGGCAATTACATTTAAAAACCGGCATCGACATATAGTGACAGCCAGTGAAGGAGCCTCTCTGTATACACTGCTCCTCTCTGTATACACTGTGCTCCTCCCTGTATACACTGCTCCTCACTGTATACACTGTGCTCCTCCCTGTATACACTGTGCTCCTCTCTGTATACACTGCTCCTCTCTGTATACACTGCTCCTCTCTGTATACACTGTGCTCCTCCCTGTATACACTGCTCCTCACTGTATACACTGTGCTCCTCCCTGTATACACTGTGCTCCTCTCTGTATACACTGCTCCTCACTGTATACACTGTGCTCCTCTCTGTATACACTGCTCCTCACTGTATACACTGTGCTCCTCCCTGTATACACTGTGCTCCTCTCTGTATACACTGCTCCTCTCTGTATACACTGTGCTCCTCTCTGTATACACTGCTCCTCTCTGTATACACTGTGCTCCTCCCTGTATACACTGCTCCTCACTGTATACACTGTGCTCCTCTCCTGCCTTTCTTAGCCGTCCCCCCCTTCCCTCACATCTACAGTACACGGTCTCCTGTATCGGCACTTGTATCAGTAAATTCAGCAAAATGCCAATAGAGCTATTTTCGGCCAACATGTTTCGGTGGCCGTAATTTCGGTGCATCCCTACTTGTGGGAGCCATTACACCATTGATTAACAGCTTCAACAGGGCTCCACTTTTACTATCCGCAGCTGACAGAAGCAACAGGGAAGTGAAGGAAAAGTAAGTCTAAGCGTCTGTGGAGGTTTGCATTAAAGGAACCCATATGGGCACAGCCTAGATTCAACTTTGGATGTCATCCTATCCACAAACCAACATTGAAGCACAGATATCTAATACTTAGCAAACCTTCAGAGGAAGGGCTGCAAAAAAAAAAAAAATACTGAGGCAACGTCATGTCCCTTCGTCACTGGATTAGTCCAGGGGTCTCCAAACTTTCTAAACAAAGGCCCAGTTTACGGTTGTTGAGAATTTAAGGGGGCCGGACTAGGGTCACTGGGAATAGAAAATGCCCTAACTTTGTCAGTGGGAGGACTAGTACCCCCGTCCTTGGGGTCAGTGGGAGGCATTGTGCCCCGTCCTTGGGGTCAGTGGGAGGCATTGTGCCCCGTCCTTGGGGTCAGTGGGAGGCATTGTGCCCTTTCAATTGTGTCAGTGGAAGGAATATCGACCCACTGTTGATGTCATACAGAAATTATGCCCCATTGTTGGTGTCGGATAAAGACAAGCAAAGGGCCACATTAGGCCCCCGGCCACAGTTTGAAGACCACTGGATTAGTCAATCTCCTCCACCGTTTCACCAGGTATTTACTTGATGGGTTTTGCTATACACCAAGAGCTTCATTTTAAAAATGCTTCGCTCTGTGGGAGGAGAAAAATAAGTGGGCGGAGTCATGTGAACAGTTTGTTCCTCTTTTTTTTCAAAAGAAAATTCTCTGCAGACATGTGAACATGACAGCTCCATACGAACTTAAAGCTCACACAGGAAGGCTAGGATCACACTTGCTGAGTCTCTGAAAACCTATCGGGGGGGTGGATGGCTTTTCAGAGTGTGGCTAAGCAGCCACTGTCAGGAATTAAAGTGAATGTAAACCTCAGGCAACAAATGTGAACAAAGCATATCCCTCTAGAGCAGCGGTTCTCAACCTGGGGGTCGCGACCCCTTTGGGGGTCGAACGACCATTTCCCAGGGGTCGCCTAAGACCATCGGAAAACACATATTTCCGACGGTCTTAGGAACCGAGACACCGCTGCAGTCTCCGGCGATGTGTGGGCGGGATGATACGCTGCTGTCACCCGGCCACACCTCCGGGATCGCTCAGCAGCTCCGCCTCCTCGCCGCTGATTGGCCACCGGAACTGTAGCTCAGGAGAGGCACACAGGCGGCCAATCACCGGCGAGGAGGTGGAGCTTGGAGAGGAGGAGCCAAGCGGCAGCGCGCGTACATCAAAGAAGACCGAGGGAGCGAGTGAAGAGGAGAGCGGCCAGAGAAGGAAGACAGCTGACAGGTAAGTGAGAGAGCGAGCCCAGGCTGGAGCAGGGGTCAGCAAAGTAAGTATCATTGGTGTCAGTGGGGGGAGGAATAGTGCCCCATCATTTGTGTCACTAATACCAACGATGGGGCAGTATTCCTCCCCCCACTGACACCAACGATGGGGCAGTATTCCTCCCCCAACTGACACCAACGATGGGGCAGTATTCCTCCCCCCACTGACACCAACGATGGGGCACTATTCCTCCCCCCACTGACACCAACGATGGGGCACTATTCCTCCCCCCACTGACACCAACGATGGGGCACTATTCCTCCCCCCACTGACACCAACGATGGGGCACTATTCCTCCCCCCACTGACACCAACGATGGGGCACTATTCCTCCCCCCCCTGACCCCAACGATGGGGCACTATTCTCCCCTCCACCACACTGACATCAACGATGGGGCACTATTCCTCCCACTGACACCAATGATGGGGCACTATTCCTCCCACTGACACCAATGATGGGGCACTATTCCTCCCCCACTGACACCAACGATGGGACACTATTTCCCCCCCCCCCTGACCCCAATGATGGGGCACTATTCTCCCCTCCACCACACTGACATCAATGATGGGGCACTATTCCTCCCACTGACACCAATGATGGGGCACTATTCCTCCCACTGACACCAATGATGTGGCACTACTCCTCCCACTGACACCAGTGATGGGGCACTACTCCCCCCACTGACACCAGTGATGGGGCACTACTCCCCCCACTGACACCAATGATGGGGCACTACTCCTCCCACTGACACCAATGATGGGGCACTACTCCTCCCACTGACACCAGTGATGGGGCACTACTCCTCCCACTGACACCAGTGATGGAGCACTACTCCTCCCACTGACACCAGTGATGGGGCACTACTCCTCCCACTGACACCAGTGATGGGGCACTACTCCTCCCACTGACACCAGTGATGGAGCACTACTCCTCCCACTGACACCAGTGATGGGGCACTACTCCTCCCACTGACACCAGTGATGGGGCACTACTCCCCCCACTGACACCAGTGATGGGGCACTACTCCCCCCACTGACACCAGTGATGGGGCACTACTCCCCCCACTGACACCAGTGATGGGGCACTACTCCCCCCACTGACACCAGTGATGGGGCACTACTCCCCCCACTGACACCAGTGATGGGGCACTACTCCCCCCACTGACACCAGTGATGGGGCACTACTCCCCCCACTGACACCAGTGATGGGGCACTACTCCTCCCACTGACACCAGTGATGGGGCACTACTCCTCCCACTGACACCAGTGATGGGGCACTACTCCCCCCACTGACACCAACGATGGGGCACTACTCCCCCCACTGACACCAACGATGGGGCACTACTCCCCCCACTGACACCAACGATGGGGCACTACTCCCCCCACTGACACCAACGATGGGGCACTACTCCCCCCACTGACACCAACGATGGGGCACTACTCCCCCCACTGACACCAACGATGGGGCACTACTCCTCCCACTGACACCAACGATGGGGCACTACTCCTCCCACTGACACCAACGATGGGGCACTACTCCTCCCACTGACACCAACGATGGGGCACTACTCCTCCCACTGACACCAACGATGGGGCACTACTCCTCCCACTGACACCAACGATGGGGCACTACTCCTCCCACTGACACCAACGATGGGGCACTACTCCTCCCACTGACACCAACGATGGGGCACTACTCCTCCCACTGACACCAACGATGGGGCACTACTCCTCCCACTGACACCAACGATGGGGCACTACTCCTCCCACTGACACCAACGATGGGGCACTATTCCTCCCACTGACACCAACGATGGGGCACTATTCCTCCCACTGACACCAACGATGGGGCACTATTCCTCCCACTGACACCAACGATGGGGCACTATTCCTCCCACTGACACCAACGATGGGGCACTATTCCTCCCACTGACACCAACGATGGGGCACTATTCCTCCCACTGACACCAACGATGGGGCACTATTCCTCCCACTGACACCAACGATGGGGCACTATTCCTCCCACTGACACCAACGATGGGGCACTATTCCTCCCACTGACACCAACGATGGGGCACTATTCCTCCCACTGACACCAACGATGGGGCACTATTCCTCCCACTGACACCAACGATGGGGCACTATTCCTCCCACTGACACCAACGATGGGGCACTATTCCTCCCACTGACACCAACGATGGGGCACTATTCCTCCCACTGACACCAACGATGGGGCACTATTCCTCCCACTGACACCAACGATGGGGCACTATTCCTCCCACTGACACCAACGATGGGGCACTATTCCTCCCACTGACACCAACGATGGGGCACTATTCCTCCCACTGACACCAACGATGGGGCACTATTCCTCCCACTGACACCAACGATGGGGCACTATTCCTCCCACTGACACCAACGATGGGGCACTATTCCTCCCACTGACACCAACGATGGGGCACTATTCCTCCCACTGACACCAACGATGGGGCACTATTCCTCCCACTGACACCAACGATGGGGCACTATTCCTCCCACTGACACCAACGATGGGGCACTATTCCTCCCACTGACACCAACGATGGGGCACTATTCCTCCCACTGACACCAACGATGGGGCACTATTCCTCCCACTGACACCAACGATGGGGCACTATTCCTCCCACTGACACCAACGATGGGGCACTATTCCTCCCACTGACACCAACGATGGGGCACTATTCCTCCCACTGACATCAGTGATGGGGCACTACTCCTTCCACTGACACCAATGACATGGCACTACTCCTCCCACTGCAAAATTACAGTTATGAAGTAGCAATGAAAATAATTTTATGGTTGGGGGTCACCACAACATGAGGAACTGTATTAAGGGGTCGCGGCATTAGAAAGGTTGAGAACCACTGCTCTAGAGTGTGTACTTGTCTCAGTCCAGAGTACTAAGTGTCACTGCTGCCCTGTTCCTCAGCTATCAGTACGATTCACTTCTGACAAGTTTTCCTACACACCAAGAGAAAAATGGTGACGGAGAGGGAGCTCCAGCAAACTGACAGCATCAGCTCTGTTCCTGTGTGCTGTGTGTAAGGGAGTGTATCTCTTCCCTCCAATCAGCTCTCAGAGTTCTACTCACTGAGCTCTGCAGAATACCTTCAGCTCTCCAACCCTTTTTTTTCTGAACTCTCAGACAAGCTTTGAAAATTCAGCACTTTGAACAGATGTAAAGCAAAAACTGCATATAAACCGGTACAACTTCTGTAGAAGGATTTACTTCATCTCTGTGTATCACCTGAGGCCATTCACTTCACTGGGCATATTTAAGGGTTTACAAACACTTTAAGGATACGATCCTGTCACCTCCTGAACTCCCCTTTTTTAGCCTTCTGACGCTTTTCAATGGGGCTAATGTGCTGCAGATGTAAGCCAAGCACTTACAGTTGCAGTGTGGCCCTACTGACCTCAATGGGCAAGTTTGACACTGCTGTCTGTCAACTTGACATGCCTTGTTAACCGCCTCCCACCCGCCATATAAGGAAATGACAGGCGTATGGCGATTCTCTCGTTCTGGGAGGACGTCATATGGCGTCCTCCCACTCTATGGGCGCACAGCGTGGCGATCAGTAGTGCACTGTATCCCTTGGACACCGATCACCGATCAACGGAAAGAGCCGAAGATGGCGGCTCTGTCATGTGATCAGCTGTGTCCAATCACAGCTGATCGCTTTTAAATAAGGAAATGCAGGTTATCGGCATTTCTCTCCTCACGCTGACAGCTTGTGAGGAGAGGAGAGGAGAGCCAATAATCAGCATTCCTCAGAGGGACATGTACACAGATCATCAGAGCACTGATCATCAGTGTGCCTTGATGATCAGTGTAGCCCCATCACTGCCACCTGTCAGTGCCCATCAATGCCAGCTGTCAGTGCCCATCTGAGCTGCCTTTCAGTGCCACCTATCAGTGCCCGTCAGTGCCAATTATGAGTGCTGCGTTTCAGTGTCACCTATCAGTGTCCGTCAGCGCCATATATGAGTGCTGCCTTTCAGTGCCCATCCGTGATGCCTGTCAATGCCCATCAGTGCCACCTACCAGTGCCTTATCAGTGCCCATCACTGCAGCCTCATTAGCGCACATCAGTGAAGGAGAGAAATCACTTACTTACAAAATTTTATAACAGAAACTAAGAAAAAACACACTTTTTTAAAAAAATTATGGTACAGTGTTGCATGATCGCGCAATTGTCATTCAATGTGTGACAGCACTGAAAGCTGAAAATTGGTCTGGGCAAAAAGGGGGTAGAAATGCCCTGTAGGCAAGTGGTTAATTATGTCACAGCTACATCACAACTGCAGAATGCTTACAGCCCCTCTGGCTGTATTTTAGGCTTTAGGTGAATGGTCAGTAAAATGGTGACTTTCTTTTACCTCCCCCAGGCCACCCATATGAAGGAGGCCAAAAAAATCCCATGTGTAATTTCTATTTTGCATGCACTCCTAATGCAGAGTTCTACAGATATAAAAAAAACTGACAGCACAATCAATGCCAGCAACAAGACAAAGCAGATGCAAAGCATCCTATTGATAAAACTGAATAATAACCACCTTGACCAGAAAATATTTTTTTCTCTTTAAAAAGCAATAATAGTATATACCCACTGGCACTTCTGCTCCAAGAGTATGTCAGCACAGAGGCGCATTCATTCTGGATTAATGGCTCTATATATAGGTTGTATCTGTGCGATAAACCAGTGACTCTGAATGCAATAGGGTCACAGGGACAGGAAGGAATCACTTCCAATACTTCAAAATGAGGAATAACCTCCCGATTTTCTTGTATTATTAAACAGACACTCTCACCTTGTCTATTCAATGACCGTATCTTTGTAAAGTGCTCCCCCCCCAATTACAGTCTGCCTTGCAGCTCTGCCACAAAGCCCTCCAACCCACATCTGCCCTTCCAGGATATTTTTCTGAACAACCTTTTGGTCGCTATAATTTTATGGTTGTTTTATATCAGGACAAAACACGGGGTGATGATGGCTTAAGGAGAGTATAGGGAATCATTCATACTATCCTTCAATGTCAATGTTCGTTCACAACACAAAATCAAATAGGAACGTAAAAGTGTTTGCAGTGTAATGCTACTCACTGCATGCAAATGCCCTGCACTGCTTTCTTAAATACTGCACTGCTTATTTTGTGAGCACTGAGATGTGCTCAAAGCCCTTTAAATATTTATTGGCTGCTTATCTTAATGCACCTCAACACACCATAGTGAGTGCTTTGAAGCACACTGCGTTAAGACTTACAGATTTAAAGTGGATGTAAAAGTATATATTTATTTTTAAATAAACAAACATGTTATACTTACCTGCTCTGTGCAAAAGAATTGCAAAGAGCAGCCCCAATCCTCCTTTTGTGAGGTCCCACACCAGCACTCCTGGCTCCTCCACTACTCTTCATCTTCCTTTGGGTTTGTATACACTTTATACAGACAAAGCAATTTGCCACTAGAGGGAACTCTAGCTGGCTCAGTGTACTTACTCTTCTGAGAACAGTTTTGATAAAATATCAGCCAATTTATTGACATGGAGCAGTAAAGCACAACCACCGGGCAGCACTGCAAAGCAGAGGCCGAGTATGCAATAAATATAGCTGCTCCCATGTACTGTACATTAATAATCATAAACTATATACAGGAGCAAGATTTTTCATAGCTATCAAAACAAAAAGAAAAAAAAAAGGACAATACTAGATGATCCCATGAAAAGTATTACAGGCACAGTTTAGGACCACAGTGACAATAATTCCTTAGGGCCTCGTTTCCCACCATACGTGCATGAAAACTGACGCGCAGATTTCACTTTTTACATCGGTTTTCATGTGCGCTTCAAGGAGTTTTATACACATTGCAGATTCCTGCGCAAAAAAAAAAAAAAAATTTGCACGTGATGTTAGTGTTGTGGTGTGAGCAGGGCACATAGAGAACAGTTGAGTTTGTGTTGCCCTTGCAGAACGCGTGCAGAAAAACTGCCATCTCTGCACCATGGTGTGAACGAGCCCACTATCAGTTATCACACCATGTCCCAGCATCCTTGTCCGACCAGAATGCCACATCTTATTCCACCTAATACTGCATGACAAGCGCTTTCCTTTTCATCGACTTACAGCTAAAGAAGAGGCTCATGTAAACAGGCGACCATAGCTCATCATTTAGTACAAAAAGACATTTTAGACCATAAAACCAATGAGGCGTCTCACGGTTAGGATCCAATATTATAAGGGCTCAATCTACCCAAAACTACTTATTTTAGCTTTTAAAAATTCTACTTGAGATGGACTTTTTTTTTTTCAACAGGGAAGAAAATTATTGGGCAACTGCCATCTGGACTTCTCCTTTAAATGGGTACTAAATGCTTTTAGCAAGTACAAAGATTGTCAAACTTTGGGGCTCAGAAATGGATACCATCACTCTAGGTGTGATCCCATGGACTGTTCATAACCTGGAGTGGAAAGAAATGTCGGTGCAGCCCTCGTCAGACCGGGGAAATCCAACAGTGCACAAAAACATGAAAACAAAGAGGGCGCAAATGCCTAGTGCATTACCTTAAAACAATTCATTGAAAATAAAAGACAAAGGTTTTACTCACAAACCAAGAAGGTGATTGGCATGTGGTTGCATAAACACACAATGTGAACCGCTCTTCACCTCCAACTGAAGACAAGATGGTGTGAGCTTCTGACGCGTTTCAGGGACCCTGCCCCCTTCCTCAGAGCAAAGGCCTTTTTGTCTGGTCTTCAAGAGCGGTCCATATGTTGTGTTTATGCAACCACATGCCAATTACCTATTTGGTTTGTGAGTAAAACTTTTGTCTTTTATGTTCAATAAATTGTTTTAAGGTAATGCGCTAGGCGTTTGCATCCTCTTTGTTTCCATGTTTCTGTGCTAAAGGCTTTTGCCTTAATGCAGGGGTGGGCAATTCATTTTCCCATGAGAAGGAGAGACTATTGTGGAGGGCCAAACCGATAGTACCTGACCTGCACTTGTATGTAGAGTGGCAGGCTGAATCACGGTCATCCCCCAGGGAGAAAGACTGAGGGCTAATTCACATCATTCACCGGCTAGTGTGCTGTGCAGTCTGGCAGGACCCCTGCAGTACCAATGCGCCAATCTCTGAACATCGCACTGTTCACCTTTTTTTCTTTTTCTTTTTTTTTTTTTTAAACAAACTTTTGAAAATATCACACGGATATTTAAAGTGTTACTAAACCTAGGACCCTGCATTCACTATATCTGGTCTGCCACAGAACATGGAAATGCAATTATTTTAATAAATATAAACTGCTAAATACCTTTTCTCATCAGAAGTATATAGCAGAGAACTGGTTAAAGCTTGGAGGAGTTTTCATTCCCCCTTGATTGTCCTATGAGGCTGCAGGACCCCATGACCCTCTGTCTGGACAGCCCTGATTGGCCTGTACCGATCACATGCACTTTCCCAAGAAAAAACAAAACAAAAAAAACTCTAGAAATACACACTAAACTGAGCATGTGCAGCTTGCCCCTAAGGCTCTGTTCTAGATGGATTGGTGATAGTAGAAGAAGGGGAGGGTCAGAGAAGACAGAACAAAACATCATTTTTACACAATGCAGATTAACCCCTTCGGTTCCACAGGGAGTATAAAAACCATGCTTTACTGCATATACATACTGATTTTATGGTTGTTGGTTTAGTAACACTAAGTTCAACTGGACACCAGATAATTTGAGGTGACAGAATGCTTCACACTGCGCTAAAATACCTACTGCGGGCAGCATTTTTTATCGCACACAACACCGCAATGCAGTGGTGTGAATGGTGCACAAGCAGTAAGAGACCAGGCATTTTACCCGTCATGTGCTGGGACTGTGCTGGAATAATAACACAATGCAGGCCCACTGCATCTGCTGTGAATGAACCCTACTGCAAACGCTGGACATCTCACTAATAATAGTGAAGGCACTGACAGACTGATCGCAGCGATCAGAGGAGGAGGAGGATCAGGTACGTGCTGGGGCAGAGCGATCAGAGGAGGAGGACCAGGGACATGCTGGGGCAGAGCGATCAAAGGAGGAGGACCAGGTACATGCTGGGGCAGAGCGATCAAAGGAGGAGGACCAGGTACATGCTGGGGCAGAGCGATCAGAGGAGGAGGACCAGGTACATGCTGGGGCAGAGCGATCAGAGAAGGAGGAGGATCAGGTACATGCTGGGGCAGAGCGATCAGAGAAGGAGGAGGATCAGGTACATGCTGGGGCAGAGCGATCAGAGAAGGAGGAGGATCAGGTACATGCTGGGGCAGAGCGATCAGAGAAGGAGGAGGATCAGGTACATGCTGGGGCAGAGCGATCAGAGAAGGAGGAGGATCAGGTACATGCTGGGGCAGAGCGATCAGAGAAGGAGGAGGATCAGGTACATGCTGGGGCAGAGCGATCAGAGAAGGAGGAGGATCAGGTACATGCTGGGGCAGAGCGATCAGAGAAGGAGGATCAGGTACATGCTGGGGCAGAGCGATCAGAGAAGGAGGAGGATCAGGTACATGCTGGGGCAAAGCGATCAGAGAAGGAGGAGGATCAGGTACATGCTGGGGCAAAGCGATCAGAGAAGGAGGAGGATCAGGTACATGCTGGGGCAGAGCGATCAGAGGAGGATCAGGTACATGCTGGGGCAGAGCGATCAGAGAAGGAGGATCAGGTACATGCTGGGGCAGAGCGATCAGAGGAGGATCAGGAACATGCTGGGGCAGAGCGATCAGAGGAGGATCAGGAACATGCTGGGGCAGAGCGATCAGAGGAGGATCAGGTACATGCTGGGGCAGAGCGATCAGAGAAGGATCAGGTACATGCTGGGGCAGAGCGATCAGAGGAGGAGGAGGATCAGGTACATGCTGGGGCAGAGCGATCAGAAGAGGAGGAGGATCAGGTACATGCTGGGGCACAGCGATCAGAGGAGGAGGAGGATCAGGTACATGCTGGGGCAGAGCGATCAGAAGAGGAGGAGGATCAGGTACATGCTGGGGCAGAGCGATCAGAGGAGGATCAGGTACATGCTGGGGCAGAGCGATCAGAGGAGGAGGAGGATCAGGTACGTGCTGGGGCAGAGCGATCAGAGGAGGAGGACCAGGTACGTGCTGG